GACAAAGGTACATTTTGCGGCTTTACATAAAGTGGTTTTAAATTGTTTTCAAAATTCATCGAGTGATGTCGTTGTCTTCAATTCATCCGATAAGGTCTCTCATGTCATGGCCCCTCTTTCAGTGTGAAGCATTTTGAAAATTTTCATGGTTTGAGACTCAAAATACTGGTACATGTTTTAAGCCGTAATGCAGTTCTCTTGTAGATATCCTTTTTTATGATGTTAAATCCGTAATGACGGTATATCACCCGGTTCTGAGTAGAATCAGATTTGAGGATTTTTTTCTTTGGGATAGTGTCTATAATTATTCAGAAAATTTCCAGTGTTGGCATGATTTTCGTTATGGAACGAATGAGTTCATGTTGGATACACCTTAATTGAAATGAGGGATATGGGTAGTAATATCATCGACGTCTTTTTCTCCACAGTCCAAATCTTGGAATGGTGTGATTTTTCAAATAAAGGACATTTAAATTCATAAAGTTCATTTAAAATAATTCTGGACCAAAAACTATCCTGTCCGGTGTCATTGTATAGCGCATTATTTAAAATTTTATTTTTATGCAAGTCCACTTTGAAAAGCTAGAAACAGTGAAGAACGATGTTTTCCGGTTACTTGCTGAAGCAGTCGATTTAGGCATTTTACACACCTAGCAAGATAACATTCTAAGGCATGACCGTAACATTAGTCCAATTTTACTGGAAAAGAAAGATCGATAGATTGACTTTGAAAAAGCCAGATAAATTATTTACATTCCACACTACGGAAATTTTAAAACGCCTCCATTTTTTGCCAGGACTTTGGGCGAAAACGGGTGACGACGACGCAAAGCCGGTGATATCAAACTTATCTACTCTGGACAGCGTTTTGGAAGACTTTTCGGTGGACAATTTTTCTAGAGTAGTATGGACAGGGCCTTAAAGTTAATAAAGCAGTTTAAAACGTACTTACGGTGTTACTGTACAGTAATGTTTCTTGAACCAAGATCAAAACAAAGTCTGCGACGACGGTGTATAAGAACTAATTTTAATGGTACAGCAAAAGACCCTTCGGAAAAAAAGTCCCCATTAGATTTTGAGATCACTTCAAAGGAGTAATTAGGAATCTAAAAAGGACTATTTAGCTTTGATCATATTTAATCTTTGATTTCCGACAGACCAAATCAGTCTGCCATCCTATCCGGTACAATGAAACATTGAGTTAAAATTTACTTGTGTTTTCAAAAATAGGAATTTTTCATACCGGCTTCGTTAAGGCCTCACTGAAATGCCGAGTAGGTGGAAATTGTACGACATTTGGTTTCGGCACCGAAAAAGAAAAAACTTTAATAGAGATATGAGATGTCAACTCAATGTTATAGTCGGTTCCTCTTTCAAGTGCTATCGTAAAATGCAACAGCTTTTTATTTGAAGACCCGGGGGGGGGGGGGTACTTGGGTTAATTTTTCCTGGGTTTGTGCCGTTGGCCTCTCAGAACCCCTACCTAGTCTATTATGTGGCCAAACATAGACCCCCATCTTAGTCACTCTAGAAAAACGTAATTTTTGCGATCTCAACGTAGCGACTAAATCTGTTTATGCATCTAGCTTATAAAGTCTTTTTTTAATAACTAGGTCACTCGGAAAGGAATTGACACATTGGTTAAACGTAATGAAGTAAAAATGTTCCCATTTTTAAATCCTTACCTACCTGAATTTTCTGCACCCCCAAATTCCGAAAATGTGCGATCCCATTATAGTAACTCGACCCTGTCCAGTGCCACATCCCCATTAGCCTATTTCTAGGAAGTAACCCCCCCCCCCCCGTTTGAAGATTAATTTTCTTAGTTTATCATTTAAACTATCAACAATTGTCTTATAATGACTGGCTGCTGATTTCTATCACTTGAAAAATCTTCCCCCAAATTATATGTAAAATCGAATAGATGATCTATTCGTTGAAATTCGTTTTTTTACATGGAAAATGAGAAACGCCACTGGATCGTTGTTCTTTTTTAGATGAGTGAAACAGTGAAATAAAACGATATGCTGTGCAGTTGCTTCAGTTAACTATTAGGGAAAGTGAAGGAAGACGCCACTTGTAAAATGATCGTTTTGGAGAAAGATGTTTACGTTCGACGGATATTGCAGTTGAAATATCGTTGATATTGCAACTAAAATTTCGCTGGTTAGAAAATGAGCCCTAGTCGTTTTTATTCGGAGGGACTTCGTCAGCGATTTCCTTTGCGATGAAGTATTTCTACTGTCTCCTCCAAACATCTCAGTAAATGTGCATGCTCTAATTTTATTCTGACTCAGTAGTCTGTATCAGTAAAACTGCAGTTTATCATAGGGGCAAGTGTTTGCTTGAATTTTCAGCACAATAGTTTTGTTCGTACGACCTTGAGACGGGGGGCGGGGTGATCTCAAAAAAAAAAATTTAGGCCCCTTGGGCCACAGTTTGGTCCAAAAATAGGGGGGAAAATAGGGGGGACTCGGGCCCCTTCCCTGGATCAGCCACCGGCTATAAAATTTGTATCTGTTCGGTCATCCTAAGGGACTTTAAGAATTTTTGAAATTACAAGAACTTCAGTTTTACTTTCCCGAAAATTTTAGATGCAATTTATGGTTTTACGAATCTGAGAATTTTTCTGACTCCCATCTCAATCACATTTTTGAATCCGAGATTTTAGGTTTCCTTTTTCTACGAAAAACAGCATTTCTTCGGGAGTGAAATGTGAAAAATTAAGTTTCCGAAAATCGTAGCGAATTTATCAGATAAACTTCGAAAATTGTATAATTTGTTGAATGCAACGGTCATCTAGACATTTGTAGCCGTATTCAAGCAAAAGAAAATTCTAGGCAATATTTGCTTCTCCAAAAAGATATTTACAGAAAACAGTCGTTGGATGCCCCTGATAAAATTTCCTCTGTGTGTTGTCATTTGTTTGCCCCTGAAAGCGTACATCATGGGCCTTTTTCTGTTTTTTTTCAGTACTAACAGTCTATGAGGCTTTTATTGTTGTCGTCTGCGTAACTGAGTTTTTTTTAATTTACATGTGGCTAATGACTTTTAGTAACAGTCATTCGCTTTTGGCGAATTGAAAATTGTTCAATCAAATATTCATCTCATGCACCAGTGGTGTATGGCTGTTTTACCGCAATTCAGTATTAAATGATTTTCTCCCTTTAATTAAAGCTCAATTACTATTCTGTGTAAAACCATAACGCATTGATGCCTTTCAGTATTTTGTTTCGGTGTGTGCAGTTTTTGTAGATGTTCTGTAAACGCGAAAACTCTGCTTTCTAGATTTATTAATTAATATTCAAATAAATCTATAAACTGTGATTTGGACTGACAAAATCCTATTTAATTTCACTTCATCAATTACAGTACTTATTTAGAGTTGAAAGGCCATTAGTTTTTCTTGACAAGCGACAAGCTCTTCTCATGCAAATAGGGATTATTTTTTTTCGTTATTTTTTTTATAATTTGCATAGTCTTTCTGAAGCTTCCCAATCAGAATGGCGCGTACTATTTGATTTTTTATCCGGAATTCCGGTTGTCCCATGTAAATGGCAGTGGCTGATCCAGGGGAGGGCCCCGGGGGCCCTTCCCTCCCCTTAGTGTTAGACCAAACTGAGGCCCCAGGGACCGAAAAAAATTTTTGGGAGATCGTTCCCCCCTTATCTAAGGGTCTGTATGACCGCTCCCCCCCTCTTATGTCAAGGTCTGAATCCGGCACTCAATTGTAAGTAGCCTTGATCCTAACCGACCTCTCCTTCTTATCATGGGAAAATGAGGAAACGAATCGGTGCACCGACTCTCATTAGTCAGTAAAGGCACGATAGCAACAGTGAAGCCGGCCGACCGGGATTACCGGGAGTGACGGGGTTAAAGGGGTTGGCAGTTTTTCTGGCCTGGCACAAGGAGCCCATAACCCGGAGCGATCATCGATCTCCCATATTAGGCCTATGTCACGGCTTTTTTAAGGACCTAGTGAGTTTATTTTTAGACACATTTTAGGGTACTTTTTTCACGCAAAAATAGAATAATTATCCACCAGGTCTATGAGCGCATTCGAAGTATAAAATACCAAAAAGGAAAACTAAAAGTCATCAAACGGCCAAAAAAAAAAGACAAAAAACAACCTGACTGGTTTGTGGAATTTAAAAGATATTCAACATTCGCGCCAAAACCGTTCTAAAAATAAACTGGTCCGTGAAAACGCCGTAACATGAGCGCAAGGAAGTTGCTTGCTAATGTCATAAACATTCGATTTGGGTCATTATGTGTTGCTTGTTTATTGAAAGTTGCCAAAGAGGACTTATTTAACAAAGTCGGTGATTAAAAGATATGTTTCGGCTTTCCGGGTTGTTTCGTCTATCCTGCAATAGATAATAATTAGTTAAATGAATAAATGGCTAAATGAATAATATCGATAATTCATGAATTAATAAATTAATAATAGAATATTAAATTAATCCTAATAAATTAAACGGTTTCTTGATACCAACGTTCAGCCTGCTATACCAGTCTTTAGTTGCGTTGTTTAAGACGTTTAGTCCATAAGCCAAGCAAGCCTCTTCATACATTATATAGATCGTCCATTTTTTTTTAACACTCTCATTCCAAAGCCAGTCTGCAAATTGTTCCATATTGTCGCCAACATTGTCCCCCAAGTTATCCCACAGATGACCCGCTTAGAGTGAATCCATTTACAAGGGATAAAAGCGCCAGAATATAAGATTTTGTTACAGGTTTGTTTTTCTTCTGACAGACCTTAGTAATCGATTCATTTTAAATTTTAAGCCAGGTGTCTATTCAATGATTTGTTTTGTCAAAGGTTTAATTTATACACTGTAGCTGTAGTTTTATAGTTGGAAAACAAGAGCTACTTTTGCAAATTATTCGTTTCACACGAAGCACTTGGACTTCTTTAAATCAGTGGTCGAGGAATACGTTGGCTTCCATGGTTTCCTTTGAATCTAGCTTAGCTTAGTAACATTAAATTCAGTGCCTTAGCAAAATTCTAAATCACGGAGGTTGATGAGATGAGTGATTGAAAACTTACCGTACAGCGACCTTATGCCTTTTATGTCATCTTGGTGCAATTTGGGTGTCCCTTTGCTTGCTGTAGGCCACATCACTGAGCCTTTAACATTAGAGTGACGTAGACCCAATGCGTGTCCAATCTCGTGTACAGCTACCCACAAAAGTCCCCAAGAATGCTTTTTCCTAAACCACCATCCTGACGAACGTCCAAACTCAGAGTATCGCTCATCATCGTCGAAATGGATTCGTCCATCGGGAGGAAAATATGCATGCGCCAAGACGTTCCCTTGTCCATCAAATGGGATTTTGCATTGACGTTCTCCCTTTACACCAGAGTGTGTCTTGCGTCCAAAGCTAATGGACATGAATATATGCTTATTGAGAATAAACGAATCACTCGGACTTCACCGAATAGCAGCAGTATTGCTAACCAGATATTGGAAGCCTAATGAACAACGGAAATTAAATTACTGACTGTTGTCCTAAAGGAAGGGCCTTTAGTTAATACAAAAACTAAGAGAACCATTTCGGCAGACTACTACTACTGTAATAGCAAACTGTTGAAAATGAGTTAAAAATACGGTTCAGAACTGTTATCATAAAAATATTTACATTTGATTCAAACAGTGTCCATGTTACTACGAACTAAACCGTATCATGTAACACGATTCCAAGTATCTGGCCTCAATTGTTTCCAGTCCTAAAACTTAAAAACCAAAGAGACACCGTCTTTTTTTCAGGACACTTGCTAGGAATATATAGATATGGATTTTGTTAAAGAAAAAGTTATTGTATTTAAAGACACAAGCCTCTTTTTTTCTTTTTAATCTGGCAAGAATTGAGTCGATATCAGACAAATTGAGACCACTAACCTCAACCAAAAGTCGGCTTGGCCTCGATCATTCATTCTGGTAAATTTTAGTCTCGGTGCGACGTCACTCCAGTATTTAAAAGCGCGAGTTATGATCCTCATCTGATCAGCGTGTGACATATCGTTCCCAAACTCCTGGTAATACTTGAGATCAGTTTTGGACCACTTGCCATGTGTGGAGTAACGTTTGTGGCGCCCTCCACCGACATCTATATCCGGGACTCCACATCGTGGCTTTCTCATCTGCATTAAAGTTGCATCGTCCAAGACTCCCGTTTGTTCGAGTCCAAAGAATTTCTGGAAATTTTTTATTGCTGTGGTACTGTCATGATTTCCTGACCTGGTGTTTGATAAGTAATGGTACTGCCTTAAGTAGTTCTGCAAGCAACGAGAGAGAAACGAATTTTCATCACTGTGAGCAAGACTACGACATAACATGTTGCTTACTCATTATAATAAAACTGCAATTCACCTCGTATTCGTTACTTGCTGAACATTGACCGCTGCATTTTCTTTTTTTCGTTTATCTTTTGTAAGTATGTATACAGGGGCAATTTACAACTAGATTGTTAGGAAGTGCTAAAGTAGACCAAACTCTTTTTTTTTTTAATATGAACTAGTTTGAATACCCGACGATACATGTAATTGGTGGCAACCCAAACAAGTAAAGAAAGTTTATCTTTTGTTTAAAAGCTTAACCGGATCAAGGCAGTATCTGTTTCGACGATTACCTCAGCGAACTGCGAATCATCTTCTTCTTCTTCGTATTTTTCATCTTCTTCCCATTCAGCCTCACTAAGAGCAGTCCCTGTAATCAGTAGGGGAAGGAATAGCAAAGCAAGCCGCATGTTCTCCACGACAAAGGTGAAACCGTCTTACTGCAACTATTCTACTAAATTTCAACTTTTATTCTATTCGAAAGCTAGCCAGGGATTGTAGATGATAGCTGTATTAGTTCAACTGTTAGAACACTTAACATGATATGTTTCAGGATTATGACAGAAACATGTTCTGTGTCAGCGAAATGCTATTCAAGCCAAATTTGCTAAGTCTCAAATGACATCATCAGCTATTCAAGGAAAAGACATGTATTATTGAGGCAAACAAAGCAACTGAAGGGGATGAATAAGAAGTAGAATAATTTCAAGGGATTAAAAAATAAAAAAATCTTGGTTTTTCTTTCTTTTATTCCAAGGAAAGGATTTAAGGAAGTCAAGAAATGACAATTTATTGTGTTCTGTTAAATGTTTGTTCAGATTGGGTCAATTGTAACGAAATTTCTTTGACATGACTCTAGGTGTAAACACTGGAGTCATGCTGTTAATACACAAACAATGCAGGTGAGATTATATTGGCTAGTAAAGCAAGATGCAATGTCACGTATGAACGTGAGGCAAGGGTCAATAATAGTAACACGCTAATCTAGAGCTGAACTGGCTGTATTGGGCTTCAAAGGGGAAAAGCGGTTCATTCAATTTTAAACTGCCTACTGGAACGAAGTTTAAAAGTTTGTAGTATTAAGTTGTTAAGAGCTACGTCGAAACTGGAATCCGAGAAAAGAAAGCCTAAGTGACAGTTTATGAAGATTAAAACATAGTTTTAAGAATCGAAATACGCTCCGGTTCATACAAAATGGGGGCAACCTTGCCCGCCACGTTATGTTTACTCACAGTTCATATATATACAGTCGTGCCAATGTGTCTAAATTCTTTTTCTCACTGGACATGATAATTAGTCACTCCGGTGAGGCAAAATTGGTCTTGCGAGAAAATCCCGAAATCACAAAACAGTGACAAAGCGACCTCGTTTTCCTCTGTAGTGGTAAACATAGCTTCGAGCGTACAAAAAGTCAGCTGCAGTAAACCACTTCACAATAAATCACGCTGTTTAAACACCATGAAGTCTTTTCTTGCCTTCATGGTCATCAGCACTTGGATACTCGCGTATTTTCAAAAAGGCTTTTCTATGAAACTTTGGCAAAACACCAAGTTAACGACAGCGATTTTGTTCTGCTTTATATTCACCGCCAAGCGCGATGAATACTTAACAATTATTCTTTGAAATCGAGGTGAATAGTGGCAAAATATTTACCGAGACGCGAAAGCGGCGAGGTAAATATTCCCAAAGCCACTATTCACCGAGATTGAAAAGAATAATTGTTTTAGTATATACACATGAAGTGATCTCAACAAAATCAGAGAGGAAACCATTCAAAAGTACGATTTGATTGACAGATCAAATCACGCGTAAGTTTAAAAATAGATCTTTGCAGAAATTTCAAACATGGCAATTCACAAGTTTATCATTTCGCAAACAACAGCGTAATGGCTTAAATGGAACCGCCAAAAGTTTGAACTGTTTCCTTACCTGAGAAGAAAAGTAGAGCTGTGTTGTTTTTTGTTGACTCGCCACGTTTATAGCCAAAAGGGTTTGTTGTGTCGTTCTTCGCATGAAGTGCTGACAAAAATGGCGGCTCATTTGCTCGAGGTAAGACGTCGTCTTTCTGTATCATTCTTTTTCCTGTTTACTTGAAACGTAGAATTTCTGCAAACATTTCCTTTTCAATTTGTTTGTCATAAATAAACTTCGATTTTTGAGCCAAAATTGTCTTCTTAGAAAACGGAAACGGCTTCTTCTACGCGAATACACGGGAGTTGTAAACAATCCATCGAGCACAAAACTCCTGCTACTACTGAGTGCTACAGTAAATTGAAAAACGCCGTATTGAATCCTTCCAAGTCTTTTCTTGCCTTAAAAAAAGTCAGCCCTAGGATTCTGTCGACTTTTAAAAGATCGTTCTCTAAAAAATGGGAAAAACACTGAGCTCACACATTATCCACTCGCTAGGAGGTGAATATTGTTGAATAGTCCGAGATAGCGAACCAATCAGATTGCTTAAATCACCAAGATCACTGAGTGTGTATATACTAAAACGTCATAGTCCGAGATAGCTAACCCGGATCAGATTGCTTGAATTACCAAGATCACTGAGTGTGTATAAAACAATTATTGGACGAGATTGAGCTAACTATCGTGATTTGTCAGTGGCGAGCAGATCAATTATTTGCCGAAGCCGAAGGCTATTTTGCGATAACCGAATTTTAATAATTGTTTTATCATTCGATCACCAAGTTTGTTGGTCTTTTTATGAATATCTTCGGAAAGCGAAGCGATGTGCCTTTTTTCACGCAGGAACGATCGCAAGACAGAGAAAGCGTTGTTTTGTTTACGCATGAGCAGAATCATGATATTATTTGCAGCCAAACACAGATGGACGACATTGAGCACAAGCAGACCATTATTTGATGGCAGTTATTTGCAGGTGACGAGATGGGCTTTCGGCTTATGAAAAGGAAGAATAAGTTGCATGGAATGATAATAAAGATTATGAACATGAAAAAATGCCCCAAAATGAGAACAAACGCATCTATTCATGCATACTTATTAGTTTACTATTAAAGTCAAACTTCGTCAGTGAGACGCGGTTTGCCATTCGACGTAAAAAGCCTGACAAAGGAAAAAACGAGAGTTCATTGCTTTTTTATTAAGCGCATTTTTCCTAATCTGGCTTGCATGTTCGATTTCAGAAAATTCAAATCGACGAGGGATGTTGTTAATCAGTGTATTTCGTATGTTCCATACAGTTGAATACATGCCATTTTCACAATGACATCATTTTGCTACTACGACCAGAATATATCCTACAGGGTTTTGCTTTCGTGTGCAAATTAAGACTTTTGCCATTTACTAAAATTAATATGAACTTGAAGGAAAAACGAATAGGACTCTGGTCGAGTAAAATGACGCTATCTTGAAAAAGGCCTATTGAGCCGGAGTGTTTCTATCAACTTTAAAACTACGCCTTAACGTTACGCCTCGTGCTTTACATTAATAAGGAATACACGAAATGTGACTTAAATTCATCGCAATAACCTACATTTAAACTATTGCTAGATAAAGTGCAAATTAAAATCAAAAGTGCAAATTAAATTTGTTGATTCATCAACAAATTTTGAAAGATAAAAGGCGTTGAGGTGACTTTTTGCAATTGGGTGAATTCACAACTTAGCGTTAAAAGGCTTAAATTAACCCTCCACTTAAAACCATGCTTACACTCTAATATTCTCCAAAAAACCATTCTTATTCAATGCACTCTAATGGAAGATTAGAATTAGCGTCATGCTTACGCTTCAAAACACGATTTGCTTCCTAACTTAAATTCTCTGGCACTACTTCACGCGAAAAACCCTCTCCTTTTGCGTAACTCAATAGCATATAATTCTTCCGGACTATCACGGCAGAATATTTTTTTGACGATGTACTTGAGGCAGTATCGGTAATTGGAACTTGGAGCCGCATATATGAAGGGATTCAGGGAACAGTTCAAAAGTATTAAATACTGTACAAACATCCTGAGGCGAGCGAAGATTTGAGAATGAGCAGCACTTTCCTTTCCACTAAACTGAAGAATAAACACGACTCCGTAAGGGACAAATGATACGAAAAACACGGATGTCAGAACAACGAAAAGAACTAACAGTCTTTTTTTCTCTGCCATGTCCTTCTGCGTGTAAACATGAGCCCTGCTGCAAATTGTTTTGTCGCAATATAAACCGGATATGATCCTTGAATAGCAGAAGGCTATGCCAGCGAAAGGGATCAAAGTCAATGTAATGATAAGGCAAGTAACGTATACTCTCATCTCATTCAAATCGTTGCCTGGAGAACAGCCGGTCTTAGATCGGTAATCCACGGATACAAAGAGTGGTGTTGTTATTCCAATAGATACCATCCAAATGCCAATTATAAAGTAAGCGACCCTTTCGACGTCGATTCTCCTAGATGTGATCAGTGGCTTGACCATGGCCTGGTACCTCTCCACTGCCAAGAGAGTTAAAGTGAGTGCGGTTACCAGAAGGGTTACCATGGTGATGTTATTGGTGTATATGAACTTGCAGAGGAAGCTGCCCAGAGCACCTTGCCGAAAAGGGACCATCTTTGGAATGATGAGATGGATCACAGTGAAGATAAGCGTCGTGATGTCCGCGGCAGCTACGTTCAGCAGGAAGTAGTTGGTTGTTGTTCTCATGCTAGGAAATATCTTGATCACAGCAACGATGAACGAGTTGGCAATGAGTCCCACTGCTATAATTAACCACAGGAAAACCAATCGAAACTGCCTCTCTGTATAGTTTGACATGTGTCTGGGTAATAGTGTCGAGCTAGAGCTGTTTGCCGTGGTGTTATAGGCAATGGAAGGTGACATTTTTATCTTGATTTCCTTTGAAAGGAATGGAAGAGAAAGGATTTCCTTTATGGAAAATACTCGGAGTTTAGGTTATTATTAAAGACTTTTAAATAGCTTCAGTGAAGCATGAGGCAAAAAA